GTTTCCCAAACCAATATACCCCGATTTCCCATTTCCAATCGAGTTAGGCTACAAAAAATATCATTACTCAATTAATACCTTCATCAACTTGGGCATAAACGTAAACAGCAACGCCTTGAGCATAGTGGCGGCGGTAATTGTGGTAACACTTTGTCCGAGCTGAAAGAATTTGTTCTTCTGCTCCTCGAACGAGTTGACCTTGATGCCAAAGGCAGCGGAGGCGATGACATCGTTGGTGAAACGTGTGAAATAATCCTTCATCTCCAGCTCGATGCCATTACCATTGGCACTCTTCAGTTTATCTTCAATATAGGCCACGCCCACCTCACTGCACGCATTAATCAGATCGTACATCGCACGCATTTTGATGCCCGTGAATGTGGGCGTTAATATATTACGCATATCGCGCCATTCGCGATCTTTCAACTGCACCAGACTCTTCGACAGCAGCGTCTGAAACTGCTCGGATCCCGAATGATTGACGAAATGATCGAACTGCTTAACGCCCACACTCTTGATCAGTTCCAGATCACGCAACACAAATATCGGATCACGTAGAAAGTAAGCGCCATAGACTTTGGAGTCTTTGAATTGTTGATACTGTTCGATTTGTCTGACCAAATGTGGAGATAGGCCGAATAGTTCCTTGAAGCACATATTACCCAGCAGCGGAATGGGCTTCTCGTGGGGTATGCCCCGCTGCTCGAACGTCTGGAACTTGGCCACCGACCATTTGTAGAGTAATGCGCACAATACGATCCCGAGTGTGCAAATAATCAAAAACATTTTACTTTTATATCAGCTCAACTGAGCGCGGCGAGCTCTCGACTCTAACTGAATCGGTCAATAATAATAACAAAGCTCTAATATGACCTCATATCTCCCTCTCGCACCAGCTGCCGCTCCCACTCGCGCTACCTTTCGTTCTCCCTAATTTATATATAGCATTTTCAATGTCAGAGCTCTCGCTCTCTCTATCTCTCACTCTCTCGAGCCCTCTCGCTCTCTTGTTTACTTGACTGTTCACGCCTTCTTGTTACTTTTTTTTAGCATTCTAAATACTCTTATCAATAGAGCTTTATGTTGGGTTGAACTAACTTGACGATAGCTGAATATCTAAGAAATGTTTTATATTTAAATATTTATATTTTTTATTTAATTATAATTATTAAATATTTAGTTTAAAATAATTGTCGGATATAAATATTTTAATTTGTAATAATGCTAATTTTTGTATATATAATAATATTAATTATATACATCTTCAGTATTCTATAGAAGAGCATAACAGCAGCAACTTGCCTAAAAGTTGTTTATAGTGTAGAAAAAAAAAATGAATAAATTTAATACCTTTATGAAACATTATTAGAATATTAAATACTCTAAGTACCGTGTATATAATAATAAATTAATAATAAATAAAAATAATTAGCCATGACTTAAAAAATAAACAAATAAAAAGCAAATGGAGAAATTTGAACTCTGAAAATATTTAATAAGACAGATACGTATAAGCGTGATTCGAACTATTTCCACAGCTATTCTTCCAGCTGTTGCAAAGTGCCTTTTAAAATGAGCATACCTTCTGCTAAATACCCTAAACAGATAAATAACAAATTAGCAAACCAAACGATTTGTTGATATATATTTTGTTTATAACAATGTCTTATCTCAAATTTAGTGTTAAATTGTTTGATATGTTATCAGCGAGAATACGAAAAATAGATTATTTATAGTATAGAATATATGCATATGATAATACATACTATACAACTTGCATAGTAGTTTCGATTAAATTATATGGCACGTAAATAAAACAAATGGATGAAAAACTTTATAAATTTATTCAAACATCAATCAAAAGTTCAAAGCTCTAAATACATATAGTAATCAAACTTTTTCTTTTTTTCCGCATATATTTGATTTATATTTATAATATTTTCCGATATTTATTATATAAATCCATATACTGGAATGCCTTATCAGGCCTAAGCATCTGATATTATATTTTATTATTATAATCTTATCTTATCTACTTTCATAGCAACTGCAGCCAATATAGATTTTTGCAATAGAACCAACATTTTGCACTGTATTTAGTCCAATTTTCTGGGCACTAATTTCAGCCAAAACTTTTCCTTGGGCTGCATATGAAAACCTTTGAGGCTTTCCAGCATGTTCTTGACCGTTTTCTCAGTTGGCAACAATTCAAATTTGCTAATCAAGTGATAGATGATGGATTTGATTTCCATTAAAGCCATGCGATTGCCTTTAAAGAGAGGATTAAAAAATTTCAATAAATAATTTGTTATATAATATATATATGATTTATATATACCTATGCAACTGCGCGGTCCCACGCCGAAAGGTAAATACGTAAAGGGTTTTATGTTCGCCCTGTTCTCGTCCAAAAAGCGTTCGGGCTTGAAGACTTCTGGCTCTGGGAAATTATGTGGATCGCGTTGCAGCGCTATAATCGGTATTTGAATAATGTCACCCTTGCGAAACTTGGCCAAAAGCTCCCGATTCTCGTCGTACATATCGATATCTTTGCCGCACATCCGATCCAAGCTGAACGCTGGCGGCCACATACGCAGCGCTTCGCATATAACCAAATCCATATACTTCATCTTGGCCAACATATTGTAGCTGAGCGGTTTACCCTGCAGCTCCTGTTCCACGGCTGAGATCTCCTCATACAGTTTCGCTTGTACGTCCGGATTGCGACAGAGCTCATAGGTGAGAAAGCAGAGGCTGGCCGACATCACCTCGAAGCCCACGAGGAAGATCAACAAACACTGCGCCAACAGATCCTCATCGTTGAACTCCGCGTGCTTAGTTGAGCTGTCCAGGGTTTCATTCTGTTGATATTGCCGCTTGGCCTCCATAAGCAAATGGATCACATCGGGTCGTATTATATTATGTTCCTTGCGATATTTCATGGTATCGAAAACGAGACTACAAAAGTAATCAATTTTCTTGCCATTAAAAAGTTTGACGCGCAGGGCCTGAAATAGATTGGGATTACTTATATAAAAAGAAAAATTAAATAAAAATAATAATAATAGTTTACCTTCATAACCCTCGGCATAATGCCATAGAGTATAACCTTGATTAGGGATAGAAACGAGAAATGCATCACGGAGCTAGCTAGCGTATAGAATTGATTATTTTTATCCACAAACGAATTGACCTTAATGCCAAACGAAGCCGATGCAATAACATCATTGGCAAATCTTCCAAAATAATCCTTCATTTCCAGGTCGATCTCTCCCTTGTTGGCCTTAACTAACTCGGCTTCTATATAACGCACACCCTCTATACTGCACTCGTTGATCAGCTCGAACATCGCCTTCAATTTGCTGCCCGTAAAGGATGGAGTTAGCGTATTACGCATTTCCCTCCACTTGTCGTCCTTCAGTCCGTTCAGACTTTTCGAGAAGATTGTTTCACCCGTTTCGGGTATCATTGGGCGATGATTGATGAAATGCTCAAAGTCCTGGATGCCCACGCGTTTGATCAACTCCGCATCATGTAATATAAAGAATGGTTCGCGCAAATTGTAAAAGCCGTAGATCTTGTGATGCCTCAACGCGATATTCTGTTCGATAATATGCTTTAGAAAGGATTTTCGTCCCAGTAAAACGCGCACATTTAAGTTCCCCAGAAAGGGTTTCGGTTTGCTATACGCCACGCCACGCTCTTCAAAGGTCCTATATGGATCCATGGCATATTTATAGAGCAGCACCAGTAGTACCAGCAAAAAGGTGACGATTATCAAAACCATTTCGAACTGGATGCATCAAATGTTAGTCTATAACTAAATAAATAATCCAACTACGAGAAAAATGAAATGATTTGGCCACTCTGGATGTATTTAATCGAAGGCATAATCTAAATGAAAGATAATTATCATATTTAAGCAGTGATTTATTGGGTATGCCAAAAACTAGAATCATTTAGTTAAATATTTAAATAATGAGGTTTTTATCCTACTTTATATTTTAGATTTAAATATTTTTTATTTACATTATTTATTTAGTTTCTATTTTAATTATATGTTCACTATTTTTTTAAACCAAGTTATTAAACTTTTATATATTTAAAATATTTAGTTTTTATATTTTTATATTATTTTTTATTACGGAAATAGTACTTATATTAATAAAATTGAATTTAAGTTATATGCAAATTAATTGAAGTTAACCCTATGCCACACTCAAACAATATATTTTATATTTTTGACTTCCCATAATTTAAATGCAAATTAATAAAGAGTATTCAAATGGAGAATTTGAGTAAATAAATATTAAACTATTTATCTCTGACTATGAAAACAATATTGTATAGTTTTTCCTAATCAACTGAATGGTGAAATTTCGCTGATTGCTGTGTAAATAAATAAACATGCATATATATTTATATATAATGAGATATTCTACATATTTACATTAGCTCATTACAGCTACAATTGTCAATGCAACCAATTTATTATCAACTATGATGGAAAATTATCAATCGTGGCTGATTGCTCGCTGTAATTATATTTATAAACATTTTCTATCAAATAGATTATGATACAGAATGTTTGTGACTAACATATTTTCACACACACTCAGGCACACAAATTCATTTATTAAGCAAAAAGCTTCACTAAAATGTAAATATACATATTTTCATATTTTCTGCACAGTTTTTGATAATCGATAAAAAAGAATGCAAATTAAGCAACAAAAAATTGGTATAATATTTCAGGTAATCAAATAAAATGCCAAATCATGTGCAGCAATTTGGACTACTGAAAAATGCATTAAGAAAGAATTGGTGGACTATAGCTGACTAGTTCATACATGCTCAAGAAGATTTCAAGTTAGTTTAAGAATAAGTCCATTGAGATTTTTTATAGCAGTTAGTTGAAGATGTTAAGATGCTTATTATTAAGCACTAAAACAGATAACCCCAATACAGGTATACCCATATATAAAATCTTCATAATTTCCTTCATTTTTAATTTTTTTATTTTGTAAATAAAAATTTTTGTACAGTTTATTAAACAAGTTTTCAGTTATTTTCAAGTCTTGTTTAAGTTCAAGTCATTCACTTTAATTTCTCAACATTTCAAGTACCTAACGCCAATCGAATATACTCCAATCTTCACTCCCTGAGCGAGCATTGCAAAATGAAGAAAATTACTTTAAAAATTGTGCCTGGGAGCGCTTGCAAGGCGTGGCATGAATCAGGGCAGCACAACAAAATTATAATAACTATTGCATAACCTTGGGCAAAGATATAAAAGTCAGCCGACTGCACATATCGACAAATAGTTGAGTTACCAATATGCTCGAGGACATCCAATTGATTTACATGAATGTGCGGATATTGCGCTTCTGGGCGCTGCTCTACGATAAGAATGTGAAACGTTACATTTGCCTAACACTGAGCATTGTCCATGTGCTCACCCAGATCTTCTACATGTGCACGACGGACGAGGGCATCACGGGCATCATACGCAACTCCTATATGCTGGTGCTCTGGATAAACACGGTGCTGCGTGCGTACTTGCTGCTATTCGATCAGCAGAGATATATTCAGCTGATCAGCGATCTGAGCAACTCGTGCTATGAGCTGAAGCGCATGGATGATCGCTATATAGCCTACCTTTTGGCTAAGATGAATCAGCAGGGTCGACTTATGGCGCGTGGGAATCTCTTCTTTGGGCTGCTCACCTGCATTGGCTTTGCCCTTTATCCGCTGAGCTCTACTGAGAGGGGTGAGTGAAGAGTTGCTGGAAGTGAATGTTGAATTTTGGTTTAATTTAAAAATGTAGGTAAAGCTCTTTAATTAATGAATTCCTTAGTTTTATCTCTAAAAATAAATTTTTCCATTAAACAAAATCTTCTTCTCTTAAATTAATCCAAAGCTTTACCAAATGTCATTATTCATGAACTCTAATTACTTTTTAGAACTTCCTCCGAAAGCTTGGATACCCTTAATCAATAGACATCTCCCATTAATAAATAATTTTAAAACCCAAGTTCTCGAATATTTTCGCATCAATTAAAATTAATCCAAAGCTTCACTTAATGTCATTTATCCATTAACTCTTATTACCTTTGAAAGCTTCCACCGAAAGCTCTGATACTCTTAATCAACAGACAGCTTCCATTAATAACCAATCCTATGATCCTTAACCACTTGCTCTAAGTTCTTCACATCAACTAAAATTAATCAAAACTTCATTATCTTGAAACTTGAATTACCTTTGAACGTTTTCCCCAAAATCCTTGCTCCACTAAAATTAATCAAGAGCTTCAAATACTGTCGTTAGCTGGCCACAAAATGAATCCAAATAAGCTTCAACTAATGTCATTATTTGGCCTAATCAAATTACCTTTGAGCACTTGCAGTTCTGCCCTTTGGCAGCAAGATACCGGGCGTCAATGAATATGCCACACCCTACTATCAAATTTGGTTCGTCTTTCACCTGCTCATCACACCGATGGGCTGCTGCATGTATATACCCTATACGAGTCTCTGTGTGGGCTTCATTATGTTCGGCATTGTGATGTGCCAGTCGCTGCAGCATCGTTTGCGACGTCTCAAGCATCGTTTGCTCAACCCCCAGCAGCTCTCACTGGAAATAATCGAATGCATTATCTATCATCAGCGGATCATTGAGTAAGCAGTAAAAAAATGAAGAGAAAAACAAAAAAAGAGTGGTGCAAAAGTTTGTAGATATTCAATGCAGTCTCCCATCTACTAGCTATATACGGACCATCAATAAGCTGACTACTTATATATTTCTGGTGGAATTTTTGGCCTTTGGTGCGCTGCTCTGTGCGCTGCTCTTCATGCTGATGATTGTAAGTGCATTTGTGTGTGTGTGTGTGTGTGTGTGTGCGCGAGGCTTACCATGCTTGCAGTATATATGTATGTATGCCTCTTCTGTTGCTTTTCCGTCTAGGTGGACTCGTCCGCACATATAGCCATTGTGAGTGCGTATATAAACATGATACTCGCACAGATATTGGCACTCTATTGGTATGCCAATGAGCTGAGGGAGCAGGTGAATTGATGTACTTGTACTTGTAGTTGATGTTGTTGTTGTAGTGGCCTTTGCCTGCCTGTTTTTGTAATATATTCCAGAATCTGGCCATCGCTGTGGCTGCCTACGAGACCGAGTGGTTCATGTTTGACATGAAGGTACGCAAAAATATACAATTTATGATACTGCGAGCACAACGTCCGGCATCGGTAAGAGTTGTGGCTGTAATAAAAAATTAACTAAACTACTATTGCTAATAAAATTTGCAATAATTTTCCCAGGTATTGCTGGGTAATATTCGCCCCATTACATTGGAGTTGTTTCAGAATTTACTTAATACAACTTATACATTTTTTACGGTACTTAAGCGAGTTTACGGTTGAAGTGCTGTGAAATTGCGCATACGACACGCGGGCGTTAAATATTACAAATTTACTTGAATCAATATATTTTTTAAAAATATTTCTATTTGGTAGTTTTGACTAGTTTTGATTTTTAGAAATATATTATCATACAATAGTTGATTTTTAATATTTATTACATTATTATGCTCATTCACACAAGTGAAGTGAGTATATTGGTTTTATGCAGTGTCCATCTTTCTCCCCCTGTATATAGAGTATATACATGATTATCAATTGGGGGCGTGGTGAATCGGAGTTTGGATCTGACAGCGTTTTGGTCTATGAAAGAGTATCCTGCAGTCATTATTACCCAAATGCTATGTTCTTTTTATTTTTTAAATATATATTGTATGTATGTCATATGTTCATAGACATTTTTTGCAATTAATGTATTATTTACAATAAATAGCTGTTAATTTATAGCACTCTACAAAAGGCTTTAAAAATTAATGACGTACACATGCGCAACTAATAACAAAAAAAATTTTAATAATATATAAATTTATATCCACGCATAATAAATATTGAAATGTTGCATAATTAAATAGTTAGCATGCCTTTTACAATTAATGCGCATTGTTTTTTAAATAAATGTTCAACAACAACAAAAAATATGCTCTGATTTCATTTAAAAAATTGCTGTGAAAAATAATCTTGCAACATTTTTCATTTGTCAGATTTTTTCAAACGTTTTTTCATAAAAATTATATTTTATTCAATGCGAACACATTTTGCTGCCCATCATTTGCGGTTGTCGCGCATTTCTTGTTGTGTTTGCATATATTTTTATTCATTTCTTTTTTATTGTTCCTTTTTTTCCGTGCCCTTTAAAGCCCCACTTAAAAATGGAGGAAAAAAAACAGAGCGCATCAAATTGAGGAAGGTGTGGCGAGAGAGCGATAAAAGTTGTTTGCTGAAGTTGTCAACGCTGAACGCGATGCTGAATTGTCGACAAACTTTGCACCACACTGACTTTGAGTGGCATGCCAGAGCACAGCCAACCACCTGCAGCAGCGCAGCGAACTCAAAGGTGGCAGCTAAAGAAAAAAAAAAAGAGAACAACTGTCGGCAGCTGTAAACAACAAGAGTCGAATACATTTCAATCTAAAAACAAATTAAAAACAAAACTAAAGTTTATTGGAAGTCGCTTCAAATATATATTTTGCCAATCAGTAATTTTCCAACTTGTTATCAAATTATATATCCAACTACAATATAAAATATTTTGCATATTTCTAAAAATCTCCAAAAATATTTAATCAATAATTTTCTGATATATAAAACTTTTTCTAATGTTTATAAAATTTATTTAATATATATAAATATTTTTATTTAATCAAATATTTATAATTTTTTTTTATAAAACCTTTAATTTTTAAAATATATATTAAAATTTATAAAATATATTATATAATAAATTTTCAAAGTTAGCCAAATTAAAAAAAATGGATTAAGTATATTTCAAAAAAAATTCTTTACTTTACTAATAAAAATATATATTTTATATTTATTTATATATATTTTTATTTATTATTATTTTATTATTTAAATTTTATTTGATTGATTGATTACTAATAAAATAATATATATTTTTTATTTATTAATTATATATACATTTTTTTTATTTATTATTATTATTATATTATTTTAATTTTATTTTCTTTACCTATTATATTATTTATTTTTTTTTTTTTTTTACATTTATTTTACTCATAAAGAAACAATATTTTAAATGAAAATTAATTTTTTTTTTTTTATTTATGTATAACCATCATTACATATTATATATATCATATATTCAAATATAGTATGACTTTTTAGTAGAAACTTAAGCCAACTACGCCGTAATTGTCGTATATCTCGTTGATGGAGCACAGATTGATGAATTGCGGATTGCGTCCGGAGCGGCAGTCGCTTCCTGCCCTATCGCCGCTCTGATAAACCGGCGCGTTCACATCGTTGCCCCGGACAAAATTACAGGTCATATACTGATGCGTACTGAGCAGCCATTGGCCGGCACTGTTGCTGATGTTGCGCGTCTGACGGAGTATGCCGCACCCGACATGGGTGGTGCTGTCCCTGACCAGTTGTGTGAAGTACGCGATGCATTTGCTAAGACGGAAACGCAAAATTCTTTCAGATTCAATCAGGACCGAACAACGATCCCATGCGATCTGTGTGTGCGCCAGTCTTACCTGTTGGCTGGCGGACTATACGCTATAATGTCACGCATGCTGCACTCCTTGTATTCGCCGAACATTTGCTCCAGCGTCGCCTTGATCACCTCATCCTCGGTATGGTATTCAACGGGACCGCTGCTATCGTATGGCGTACCCTGCCAGCCGCCCTCGGCCACCACCTGGGCGACATTGCGAAACTGATCACTGTTGCGGCAATGATCATTGACCAGAGCACAGCGTTTCACATTCAGTTCCGCAAAGCTGGCCAGCTCCGGGTCCCATTGGAGTGTGGCCATGCGTGTGGCCGGATTGAAGCCGACCAGATTGCCGCCTGCGATCCGATCACGGTATTCGTTCATTTCATTGAGAATCATATTCCGTCTATCTGTTGTTATACGCACCACATGCGCATCCGGACTGCAGGTATCTGCCAGTTCCTGCAAAAATCTTTCGCACTTTAATGTCGACGATACGAATGGGTTTTGCGTCATCGAACTTACACCAAAATTACTGCAGGCAATGTGCTTCTCCGGTCCCGGACAGAGCGTAGGATCACAATAGTCAAAGGCCGGAATCCTTGGCCAAATGCAGCACAACTGCCACAGTGCAGCCAACAGCCAGTTAGTCCACAACATTTCGCTAACGCAGCCAATTTGCTCAGCTCTGGCCCCGGAGCACACTCTCTTATAGAGTTGGTCAGCAAATCGATTTGTCAACGCCAGAAGCGTTGCTATCTCGCCCAATAAGCAGCCCAAGACCCACACACACACACACCCGGCCCACTGTCAATTGGCCACGGTCATGGCCGCAACCGCATTGTATTTAGACAATTAATTAATTCATTACATTTTGATACTCTGAGCCCATTGAAAATCAGGAAAATCAGGGTATAGAGGTTTTGTGTAAATGTATGTAACAGGCAGAAGGCAGAGGCGTAGCACACCCCATAAAGTAAATTTATATTCTTGATCAAAATGACGAACTGAGTTGTACTAGCCATGTTCATCCGTCCGTCCCTGCGTCCTTATGAACGCAGAGATCTCGTAAACCACAAAAGGGAGAAACTTGAAATTGTACATGCATACTTGTGTATAGCATATACAGTACGAACTCCAAATATTTTTCCTATAACTCATCACATCGATAACAATCGATAATTTGACTTTGTTTTTCAGCCGTAATTTTAATACTGTCAGAGGTAGAGATTGCAGATTCATGTTCATGTAATGAATGGACAGACTCTATAATTTTTTCATATATATATAGTTTTTCATATATATAGTAGTCTGTCTACTAGCGGATTTATTATTATTAAGATGTGTGTTTATTATATATTTATGAATATATAATAAATATATAATAAAGGCGTAGAATAATCGGAATATTAGTACATGGAAGGGTACAGGTATACAGTACCGACGACAGCACTCTTACATATTTTTATTTATAATTTTCTTATCGGTTCCTTCCATTTCAGTGTTCTTTAACTATGTCCTTGATAAAGGGCTCCCTAATATCTGGTTTGAAGAGATTATTAAGGCTACGTCTTATCGGTATAAAATTATTATCGACGTGTTTACTGGGTTGGCATAAAAACTCGTATATATAATCCCTTTCCTGGCTGCAGCCAATTGCTGGCACCGGACTTATTTTATAAGGTACCGCATCATTGACGTTAGCTCGATTCAAATTGCAAATCAGATTTGCTGAAGTGGTTTCCCCAGCTGCATTAAAAGTAGCGGTTGTCACACATCCAATTCTATCGCAACGATCTTCGAGTAGAGGCGCGTAGTGGCCTAGGCAGGTTGAGTTCCTAATATAATAAAAATAAATAAAAAATTAAAAATCGCAAAAGAGTTCACTACAAATATTTCAATAGGTATTTTCGACACCAAAAAATGAATCATCGTGAGATCAATATAAATTATGATCGTTCGTATTACTCACTTCACAGCCTTTCGCGTTATTATGCCATTAGTATCCATACTACAACCAAACAAATCCCGAATCCAAATGTTGAGTAGATCCTTAACTGCAGTTTTCTGCTTTACGTCCCTTACAAAATGGGCCCCGATTTGCACAGTGGACACAAAATTATATGCTTTCGAATTGGAACAGTATTGGCCACGGGTATCACATGAAAACGCTAGCTTTTTGGCTGTATCGACCAGAAACTCATCCCACTGGAGGATCGGCATATTAGCTGCCGGTGGATAATCAAATAGTCCACTGGCCACAATGTTGCGCGCGAAATTCAAACGAAACAGTATGTCCTCCCTCAGAGATCCGTCAACGGTATATAATTGATATTTTTCACCACATTGCTCATGGAATGAATCTAAGTTCTAAAAACTTATTTGAATACAAACAAATAATTACTATATTTATGTTTTTACCCTTTTAGTGCATAGCACATGTAGTGTTCCATTGGGGCAGTACTTTTGATATGCACAAACTGATGCAACCGTATTGCTGACAATTGACAGCAGTCCTAGCAACACCAAATACTTTCTCATTTTTACGTGGCAAACTGCGCGAAAGTCTAGGGAGTTATACTCAGTCTTTGACTTGACTATGGCTTATACAACTTCGATTCGTTGTGCTGCAAGCCGTTAGCCTAATGAGCCATGCATTATTGCAGATAAATCACTTGGCTATACTGATTAAAGCATGCTACAGCGGCTATATCTAGGTAAAATATATATTATATTAAAGCTATAATACTATATAATATTATTTATGAATGATGAATTATTTGATGACATAGATAAGCAATTGTAGAAAAGAAAAAAAGAAGAGAGACAAACAAAGTAATGAACGAAAGACATTGACAGACTCAAACCTAATCGACTTATTATTGATAAGGTATGTGTAAGTATACTGATAGTAGGATACTCTATCAAATGTGATCTTGATTCTCATACATGCTTAAAATATATTTAACTATATATAAGAAGTCTGAAAAGCATCCAGAATTTTCTGTTTTGATTTATCTATTATAATATTGCCCTTCAAAGCAATCCCCATCAAAATTTATACAATCTCTATATTAAAGAGTAGTATTAAAATGTAAAAGCATAATAGAATGTCTCTTTGTTACATCTATAATTGAAAATTGTAAATTAATTGTAAATATCTATTGTAAAGGTAGATGATCTTATATAACATATCTATTAATCTACCTCATTCTGCGATATTCGGCATGTGATTTTACGAGTGATTTGTTTGCCATAAATATAATATATCAGCAAATGTGATTTATAAGCCCAAATAGCAAATCAAATACCATTCAATAGATAAATAGGTAGCTTAACATATTTGAACAAGGACATACATAAATCTTTCTATCATTCTACCTTACATTAAATATATATAATAACTGAGAGGCAAATATAAATATAAAAAATAAAATAAAAATTAATAAATATAAAAACATTCAGCAGAATTTGTATTGAAATGAAAGTACACAAAAATATGCATACAACTTTTTGCATAATGTGCATTTCATTAATTTATTTTAAAAATTTGATTTATGTTCTTTTTTTTTTTTTCTTTTATGGCTTTTTAAGTATTTTTTTGCATTGCCTTTTTTTCTTATAAAGTAGATAATATAAATTAAAATTAAGTTGCACTTATTAACGTATTTACATCACAATGATTTGTGAATTGGTATCGAATACATACATATAATACGAATAACAAATCAATGGCGCGACACTTTGGTAATATTACAATTTTATATAGTATATATATATATGTAAATATGGAACTATAGCTAATCATTGAAAGCAATGTTAAAGCGTATATATGGTACCGTAAGTGTGCCAGCCGTAAACAGCTCGGAAATGATCGCGATAGGAAAAACAAAACAAAGTCATATTAAAAGAGTCCACGATTAACAATTGTCCAGATAGATGAGTTAAGGGCCACACCAGGCCTATTGTGCATAGTTGGGATTGTAGGGCATTTGCTTCTCATAGGTGCCGGGCACAACACTCGGCCCCGGATTAGCCATGGCCATGTCATATGACGGTGGATTCATGTTGGCAGCCCCAGCGCCCGGTGGCATCATGGGCGGATAAGCTCCTGCTGCTGCCATTTGCGGTGGCATTCTGCAATTAAACATAAACAGTTAGATGTGGTCGATGTGCTTGCGGTTAAGTATAGGTGTAAGTATATTTACGCTGGCATTGGTGGCTGTCCCCCCGGCATGGGCATACCCATGGGCATCTGCACGGTCACATTGCTATAATGATGGGGAAGAAACGTGGCTAAAGCATTAACTGACATTAGACGATTGCTCTATGTGCACTTACCCTGCGGTCTGGGCGGGATAGGGTGTCCCGTAGGCGTTCGGTTGATATGTTGTGGCTGGTATCTGTGTAACGGGATAGCCGCCAGGGGCTGTGTGTGTGGCCGATGTGACTACAACGGGTGCTGCAAATAAAAAAAATAAAAACAGGATATAATAAAAACACGAAATCGATATTAAAATCTAATTCAATTCCAACTAATTAAGTGCACTACATTGTTTATTTGATAAGCCGATAAGTAATTGAGATTTAGGCTATTATTTAGTAATTAGTATGCGAATATTTTTACCAGCGCGTTCGCTTAACACACAGCCAGCATTTGCGGCATTTTGTGCTCGACGTTTCGAATACACAATTACTGAGATAATCGCAAAGATAATAAATCCTACAGAAAAACAAATTATCATTTCAGCCGACATTCTAGCACCCGACAAACTTTCGCTTCGATCAGACAATGGGAACTGTTTGTTGACTGGATCGGATCAAAATACTCGGAACACTCATATTTATAGATTGATAAGAAAAGAGGTATATTATCTTAATACCCTTTAATTAATTAAAATTCTAGTGGTTATATCAAGCTAATAGAAGCTTTAATAATGCAGCAAAATATTTAAATTATGGTTTGATACATTATATATGTATAAATAATAAATTATATATATATATTTGGAATCAATACTAAGCTACCGATAAATTTAATTTTTATTATAAATAATTATTGATTTTGTATATACAATATGTATACATATTTATATTCAATATTTGTTGTATATATTTATATTTTATTAGTTTCTTAATTTTTGTATTTTTGTTCATAAATATTTAAATATTTTTAATAAATATTTAACAATAATAATAATTTCTTGTATATTTTTTTAATTATTTTTATTACATAATATAATCAAATATATTTATTTATTTTTATTGTTATTATTATTTTTATTTTATTTTAGTTTATTTTATTTTATTTTAGTTTATTTTATTTTATTTTATTTTATTTTTTTGAAGATTTATGTTTAATATATTTTATATTTATTTTTATGAATATTTTCTGTATATATTTGTTTTATTATTATAATTTTTTTTTTTTTTTTTTTTTGTAAATTTATAAAGCCGTCGAACAAAGAGCAAAATTGTTTTACATTGAAAATGGGGAATTTAATTTAGTTAATGCATAACTATTAGTCGATTAATCTAAGTAATTGATATCACCAGCTATTCAAGTGTTTTCGAGCACTCAGAAAATCGAATCTGAAGAGCTTTGAAGCTCTAGTAAATAAGTAAAATACTTTAAGGGAAATTCTATTCACTTGTTTTAAAGACGACCATACAGAAAGCTACGATCACACCCAAGAGAGCAGAAATTGGCACAGCTCTTCGATCTGAACAAGTGCAGTAAAAGTTGTTACTATAAAATCCACTTAACTACTCATGGGGCAGGTGTCGAAACAATTCAATTTAGTTGAAGACTTTACCTGAATTAATGACTGTATTTTGTCTATATCTTTTGGCTAGTATGGCAGCTACACAGCAAGAAATTTGTACTAGTACTGCAATACAAAATACAATTATGCCAATAACATAACCCTCCATTCAGTCAGAGATCGTTGAAGCACAGGCAATAAAGGGCAAAAGTGAACTAAACTTTATATAGCCAAAATTGTTATGACTCGGGATAGCAAAAAAAAAATTGATATAACTGATATGACAAATTGCCAATTTGTTGATAAGGGCAACAATTTGGGCGGGGGTTTACCCACGTAAGCCAATGAATACTCTATTAATTCTATTTCGTTTTTCCACGAAATTATTCAAATATAGAAAACAATCATTAATAATGATGATGATGATGATGTGAGCATAGCTCCATTTGGCAACAAAAGATTCTTATAATCTGCATAGAGAAGAGAGTGAAATATATATTGTGAGCCAACTTTCCATAAGTCTTAAATCCAAAACGAAAAACAAAATAAAAAATATTGATAAGCCATTAGTTGATGCGGAAAAAAACGGAACTAGGTATTTCAAGACTTAATATTTTAAAATAAAAAAAAAAAAAAAATTTTGTTTAATCTAGAAAAAAGTTAAATTTTTTTAAACCATTTGTTTGGCTATTAAAAATTAAGCTCCTTATCAATGTAACTGATAAACAATGACAAAAGAAACAGTGTAATAGAAAAAGTACCAAAATAATATTATCTTTTAGTTTTGCACATGTAATCCGCTTATGTACAGTTATGAATCACACACACACGCACACACACATACACACATATATATAGAAACCACAGCGTCACGTTGAACACACCTGCGCCCTTCATGAGCCGCGCTCGTCCATTGCGTCCGCGCGTTAGGAACACGGCGCACGATGTTAAAAAGAATACGGAGAGTGTAAAAAATAATATCCAATAAATGCTTGACATATCCATGACAACAACAAAAATTAAACTAACGGTACGCACAAGACGACCAACTTGAAGAGACTAACTAAATGTCATAGCCTCATCACAGCGCGATAACAAAATGCAAAAGTCATGCCATGAATTGCTAGCTCGTCAATGCGGAATATATTATAAGGGCAATCTGAGGAAGTCATAAAGATATCTACACAGCTAGAACAGTTTGCACCTAATGTTCATTTTTAGTTTCAACCTCGATTTCTTATGTTGCATAACAAAAAAAATATATAATATATATATCTAGTATTGATTTTTAGTGATCTAATTTAATAGATGAAAAGGGATATACTTTTTTAAAGTGTTATCGATTAAAAACCTTTCAAAAATCTGTTCTAAAATTATTTCTTATTTATCTTAACTGAATACTTTGAAAAAAAAAAGTTTTGAAAGCCCAATAAAAAAGAACTTACTCTGATCATTCAATGTTTTAACGCGTCGCTGTTTACGTTTATGATGCGCCACAAAGCCAACGGTGCAAATTACAAAAAAATATAACAGCATCCTAAAAAGCACTTTGCATATGGCCACAACGAATGGTAAGTGGTTTGACTGAGTGTGTTCTGCATAATCCTGCGTAAAGTTCTGCATGTTGTTCGACAGTTCGGATATAACTGAAATTTGCTAACTTTAGCTTTGCTCTCGGACTAATCCAAATATTTCATGAGCTTTCAGCTAATTTGTATTGTATGAACGTAATGCAAATGGGTTCATTAATTTTATGAAGCACTATTCAGAAGGAATTATCATTTTGAGAGCTTTTAATATAATTGAATGACCTATTGAGATGAGAG